TTAACCTGAGTTCTTTTTTTTTTTTTTTTTTTTTAAGAGGTTTTTGCTATAGGGCGAGTGTGCTCGCCAGAAAGAAACAGAGAGACAGAAATAAGAACTCATCCCCCAGGTGGGATGGCCACACCACAATCTCTTCTCCATTCTCCTCTCGGGATCTTAGGCACACATGCGCCTGCCGTGAGTTTAAGCCACCAGGTCCAGGACTCGAACTACGGCCAACTATGTGGGAGTCCAGTGACATAGCCATTATGCCAACTGCTGGTCCCGCAAATGCTTTTAATAAGGAAATTAGGTAATAAAATTACTAGTTTTATGTCAATTTACCAGATTTTTTATGACAACCTAGTAGATTTCTCAGTTGTATTTGAAAGACTATTTCCTTACTCTTTTAAATCTTCCTCTTAATCCAGTCTCACAGCTTTAAATTCCATTTATAGGCAGATAATTCCCAAATTTTACATCTATGTCTCTAATTTCTCTCCTGAGCAACAAATTTATACACCCAGTGACTGGCATCCTTATTCAGGTGTCTTCAGAAGTAACTTGAAGACAGCAAATACAGAATTGTTTTTTCCTTCCAAACCTGTTTGTCTTCCATGGATTCCCCATTTCGGTAAATGGCACCATCACCACTAACTTGCCTAAGCTAAAAAAACCTAGACAGCACCCTTAATTCCTTTCTTTCATTATCCGTATCCATTCCATCTAGACCTATCAACTCTTACCTCCAACTAACTCCAGTTCCTCCCCCTCTCCTTTTCCCTTTCACTCTCTGACTTAGTTTCCTACCACTCTTACATTAGTATGTTTTAGTCATACTGGCTGTAAAAGCTGAATAGATCTCAAGTTCTAATCCCCAGAACTTGGAAATGTTACCTTATTTGAAAGAAAATCATGACAGTTGTGATTAAGTTAAGGATTCGGCCATGAGGAGGGTCAATCTTGAATTATCTGGGTGAGTTTTAAAAGTAGTCACAAATGTCCTTACAAGGATCAGCAGGTGGCCTGGTAGTTAAGACACTGGACTCCCAAATAGCCAACTGTAGCTTGAGTCCCAGATCCAACAGCTTGAAACTCACACCAGGCACATATGTCTGCATGCCCAAAATCCCAGGAGAAGAAAGGAGGAGACAAGACTGCAGAGTGGCCATCCTTCCTGAGGGGGTGATTTCTCACTTTTCCTCTTACTGTATCTCTTTGTCTCTCTGGCCAATGCATGCACCATATAGCAAAACTTAAAAATGAAAGAAAAGTCCCTACAAGAGAGGCAAAGGGAAAAAATACAGCTATGTCTAGGAAAAGGCCAGATGAAGACAAAGCCGAGAGTTGTAACCAACCAGCAAAGGAATGTCTGTAACCACCAAAAGGTAGTATGCTCTCTCAAGCCCCCAGAAGGAGGAGAGCCTTGCTCTCTTGACACCTTGATTTCTAATTTCCATCTTCCAGAATTTTGACAGAATAAATATGTTGCTTTAAGCTACTCAGTTTGTGATAATCTATTACAGCAATCACAGGAAACTAATACACTGGCTTACTTCCTATGGCTCTAAAACCCCATTTGTTGAGTCCTTGTGACCTCTGCACATACTATCCTTATGGGGCTCCTATCTAGGCCCTCACTCATGAGTGACTTCTTAGGAGAGCCTTGTCTCTCTACCTGGTCTAAATCCATTCCATACCAGAAACGTACATATCCCTATTTTTTTCATAGCACTTTTCACTATTTATAATTACTTGGTTTTCAAATGAGTTTATTCTGCTTCCCCCAGTAAAATACAGTATCTATGATACCAAGCATCTTATCATGTTTACCACCATCTCCAGCACCTAGTAAGTTTAATAAAAATATGTTGAATCATTCATAGATCTTGTCATTAGTTTACTTTTAGAACACTCAACTGTAAACCGGTTATAATCTATTAAACCACCCAAATGAATCAATTTAGAAATTTCAAAATGTTTAATACATTAAAAGTTATCACAGGTAGGGACCAGCAGTTAGCGTAATGGCTATGTCGCTGGACTCCCACGTAGTCAACTGCGGTTCGCGTCCCGGACCCGGTGGCTTAAAAACTCACACCGGGCACGTGTGCGTGCGTGCCCAAGATCCCGAGAGGAGAATGGAGGAGAAGGGATTGTGGCGTGACCATCCCCCCCTGGGGGGTGATTTCTCGCTTTCTGTCTCTATATCTCTCTCTGTCTGGCGAGTGCACGCACCCTATAGTGAAAACCTCTCCAAAAAAAAAAAAAAAAGTTATCACAGGTAGTATTTTAATAAATTTTTGCATTTTTTTTAATTTTGCATTTTGAGAGACCAGCAGTTGGTATAATGGCTATGTCACTGGAATCCCATGTAGTCAACCGCATTGAGAGTCTGGGACCCAATGGCTTAAACTAACACGGCATATGTGCGTGCATGCCCAAGATGCCAAGAAGAGAATGGAGGAGAGGGGACTGAGGCGTGGCCTCCCTTCCCTCTCAGGATCTTGGGCACGCACGCACACGTGCCCAGTGTGAGTTTTAAGCCATCGGGTCCAGGACGCGAACCACGGTCAACTACATGGGAGTCCAGCAACATAGCCATTATGCTAACTGCTGGTCCCCCTCCAGAGGTTTTGAGGAAGAAACTTCTGCATTTTCTAGCATCTGGCTTTAAGTAATCCTTGGCTTGTGGTTAAATATCTCTGCTCTGTCTTCATCTGGCTTCCTCCTGTGTGTGTGCCTTCAAGAGAAACTAGGTTGAATAAAGGACTTCAGAATTCTCTTACATAAAAGCCTCATTTATTCACCCTTATTTCCTGCACTTGTTATTCAACCAAAGAAAGCAAATGAAGCACTGATTGCACCATATTCCCTTAAGATATCTATGCCAAATGACTAATTGCACAATCAGGTGTCAAGTTTGCACACAAATGCAAAATTATTTACTACAAATTGGCCATACACAAATGTATTAAGAATCATAGGGAACCAACTGTAATCATCAATTAACATTCAATTTAGTATTCCCAACGTCAATAAACTAGGTATGCTACTGAATAGCACAAAGATTCCAAAAGGTAAACTTGAAGTATGTGACAGTCAGCCATCCTTAATTTCCAAAACTCAAAGTAATAAATATACATAACATGTTACAATGCAGTATGCTATCTGTAGAACATTTCATAAAGATCAAATTTTCAGACTAAAAATAAAAAATTGGACAGATGACTACTAAAGTCTAAGTGGAAAAAAAGATGTATCTGTGAATTAAACTTTGTTTTATAACAAATCTATTGAGAATCTGAGGGGAGAAAAGAACCACCAAATGTTCTTTAACCAAGCAATTTCATTTTTAAAAATCTGCTAAGTTAAAACAAATAGTAAGTGTAGATATTCATGACAATATCACAGTGGTAAAGTACTACCACCTTAAATTCTTATAAATAGAAAAATATATTATGGTAGATCCTCCTTATGAGATATTACATAACCAAAAAAAATATTTTTAGGATGTAATATGAAATATTGCTAAAGAGCAAAAAAAAAAAAAAAAAGCTGGATTCAAAAATTAGTGTTATGTACTATCGTTACAACTATGTAATGATGGGGGATAAAACAAACAAGAAAATCTACTAAAAATTTATTAAGAGTGGGTATAGGGCCAGCCAGCAGCATGGTGATAAAAGGCACTGTACACCCACAAAGCCAACAGCTGTTCAAGTCCCAGACCTGGTGGCTTGCTTTCTCACCTTCCCCTTCTCTGATCAAACTGGAAAATAATAATAAATAAAGTTAAATAAAATAATTATTTTTTAAAAAAAGGATGGGTATGAGAATCAGCAAAATTTTTAGGTGATTTTTCTCTTTTCCCCAAAATATTAATTATGTGATGGGAAGAGGACTACAAAAGATAACACACAAAAGATGTTATTTCTAAAATAAATTCCAAGATAAGAAACATAATAAATTCAGGTTATTTTAATATAAATTCTACACATACATCAAATCCACTTAAGACAAAGAACTGCATACTTCATATTTTGTGTAAAATTAAGAACTTCCACTAAGGCATTACTTGAAATCAGAGTGTCAAAACTGACTAACATACACTCCAACTGGAATTTCTAAAGACAAAAAACTTCTGGAGACACTGATAAGTAATTATTTTATTTAACTTTATTCAAAAGCATCCCCTTAAAACTACATTCTATTAATTGTTTTTAAAATCAGTTGCCAGTGCCAGTAGGTGACGTAGTGGTTAAGGTGTTGGACTCTCACATGGCCGATATAGTTCAGGTTTGGGTCTAGACTTGGTGGCTTGAAAATCACACCAGGTGCAAATGCATGCATGCCCAAAATCCCAGGAGAAAGGAGGAGAAGCGATTACAATGAGGCCATGGAGGGGGGTTGGGTGGGGGTGATTTTTCACTTTCCCTTTCACTGTCTCTGGCAAGCACACGTGACCTAAGGCAAAATCCTTAAAAAACACACAAATAAAAAGAAAAATTCCCACCTCAGAGTTAAAACCCAAAAACCTACCCTACCACCCCTTCTCTGAATTACAGTGTACCTCCCTAAATGCCATTAAGGAAAATGATAACTTATGCAAACTGATAGTACCATCTAAATCAGCCTAATATATTTATCAAGAACCTTCCATGCATAAAATCAATTTTCAGAATTCAAGCTATCATCCAGAATCATATTATTGTTTTCCATTTTCTGAAACATTAAACCACATTTATATAAACTTGTTTTCACCTGTAGTAAATTCTATAATAAATCAGATATTTTAATTATGATAATACTACATTTGCTTCAGCTTTTAACTATCAAATTACTACAGGTCTTAGTCTAAGACTTATCATGCCTAATTCTCATTCCCCACAAAAGTTAGTAATAAACACATGGAGATAGCACTGAAACTGACTGTATCATTTACAATTTTTCATATAGTGATTTTTCAGTGTTCCTGAACTCTACACCATTTAATAACTACAAACTTTTAAAGTTACTACCTTCTCAAACACAGGAATGCAAGAAGACAAATGAGGTTTAGTGATTTCTGCTTCCCAATCTTCATCTCCCATAATGGCTTCAAGGTCTAGATTTTAAAAAAAGAAATGGCCTTATTAGACCCAAATTATACCTTTAAAAATATAAACTTATCATCATTTCACATGCACCTCTTTAAAGTACTCAACTAGGTGATCGTCCCCAAACATACTTTGCAGAATGGGGAATTAAGTCTTGCTTCTTTTCTAGAGGTGGCATTTTATATTCATCTTTTTTATCTTTAAAAACTAGCTGAACTACTTACCTAATCATTCTAACCACCACTATGTCCCCAGTGATGCTTAGGCTTCCTCTCAAAAATCTGTTCACAGACTTTAATTCCTCCCTCGAAGGGTTCTTAAACGGCTGAGTATTAAGGGGATGGAAATTTTTCAGATACTATTCAAGCTCTTCTCTTCAAATACAGATAATACGTTTGGCTTGAGGATCCGTTTTTATTATGCTTGTTTAGGGCTTCTAGGAAGGAGTTCAGACCGGGGGAAGTGAGAAATCTTGGAATTTGGCAGAAAGGGGAGAAGAGTTAGCTGACCTAGATCCTTCCAACAACGTACAACGCGTTTTGCCAAGAAGCCCAGGTACTCAGTGGTACTACACCCAGCTCTGTTCAGAGAAAAAGCTGCACAAGGAGCTAGGCAAAAGGATTCCTCGACATCTCTGCAGGCCTCAAACCCAGACTCTAGGCACCCATGGGGCTTTAGGCCTACTCCCAGCAAGAGTCAGAAAGGCTCCAGAAGTCACCTTCAAACCCTGCCTGCCCCTCTCCTCTCCCCTTGGTTTCAAGTGCAGCCATGGGGAAGGCGGCAGGCCCAGGCCCAGGTCCAGGCCGGTACCAGAACACAGCCGGCCCACTCACCTCGGCTCTTCAGGCCTAGCTCTCCCCGGGTCCTCACAGGCTCCGACGCCGCTTAAACGGCTGCACGTGGAGCACGCCGACTGCGTCACATGCGCCGGCTCCAACAACAAATGGCACCAGGCGACCAGCACCATCAGCCAATCAGCACTTAGACCGGCGGAGATCCGCCCCCATCTCCAGCCAAGCATTCCCTACTTGCGTTCCGGACAGGGGCCTGAGCCCGCAGAGTGGCCGGTTGGGCCTGCTGCCTGCTTCTCTTTATCTTTTCACCTGGGTATCTTCCTTCACTTTGAAGAGGCTCTAGAGTTCTCCTCTGTAAGCTTGCAAGCCAAAGAGGTCCATTCCACTTCTAACACACACACACACACAAAAAAAAAAAAGAGAAGGGGAATTCCCTCCCGTTTTTGCTTTCCCCCGTTTCCCTATGCAGTGGTTGGACTCTCTGGTTTTGAATTTCGGAGACGCTTGCTTCATATACGGGAATTCCAGGTGTTTTAAAAACGGAAGCCAGTGGGAGTGGTACATTCCCTTTTTCTACCAGTAAGAGAGTGGAGAAGGAGTTGTACCAGCCTGGCTGGTACCTAAGGAGGGTGTAAAGGAAGTTAACCTGTCTATAGAGTAGGGGATTCACCTCTTAGGGGAAAAAACAGCCTCTGATCCAGAAGGAAGTTGGTGTTAGCTTAAGTCTGTCACCAAGTCTTGAATTTATAGTCCACCTGTTTATATGCCTACAGGCACTGGCCAAACCAAAGTGGTCAAGGAATATTTCAATACTTAGGGCCCTCAGCAATCAGTTATTCTGTTCTGCTCTCCCCAAAGCAACGAAAATATCTCAGTATTTTCCCCATCTCTCTCAAGAGCTTGATAACAGACTCTTCTCGTTTGAGTTTTATTTCCATCATTTTCCCTTCTCTGAATCTTTGAAGAAAGATTAAACCAACTTTTCACATCTTACCCTTGAGGCAGCTAGAACTATAAATGACTATATATGTCTGTGACAGACATGGGAAGAGCAGTCATTCCTCCTGATGTTCTGGATTTGTATCCAGGATCCTCTGAAGTATTTTAATTCAATTGAATGTTGTTCTTGCACAATTTTTAATTCTATGAAAAAAACAATTTTAAACAAAAAAAATCAATATTTTAAATTATGTAGATAAAATGAAAACCGACTAGATTTTTTGAAGTAAGGAAAACTTGGACAAATTTTCTAAAAATGAACATTTTTTAAATTTTTTAAATATGTCATAGGGCGTGTGTACTTGCTGGAAAGAGACAGAGAGGTAACATTATTTTCACATTATTCAAACAAGTTTTGTTTTTTTTTTTAATTGATGTGGATTATGCCTTGTACCATGTCAAGGCTGTTAAAATTTTCTTTTGGTACCAGTAGATGGTGTAATGGTTACATCGCTGGACTCCCATGTTGTTAACTACAGCTCAAGTCCCAGACCCAGTAGCTTCAAACTCATGCTGGGCATGTGTGCAAGTGTGTCCCAAAACCCCAAAAGGAGAATGGAGGAGAAGGGATTGCAGCATGACCATCTACAGGGGAGGGTAGGGGGGGGGTTTGATTTCTCACTTTCTGTCTCTCTTTCTCTGGCAAGCACACATGCCCTATAGCAAAATCTCTTAATTTTTTTTCTTTTAATCTATCAGTAGGCCAAAAATTAATCACCTCAAATGGGGTAATGTTCATTTTTAGGTCCTATAAATATTTGAAAAACTGCTACTCAGCACATAACTGTGTACCAAAGATAAATTATTTTTTAAAATGATTGAAGATTGAAGCCCTGTAAAATCAACACAAAATGGGGTGGGGACAGATACAAAATCTTCAAGATACTGTGGTGGTAGTAACACATCTGATGAAAAAAACTCAGCAGAGAGAACTTTTCAGCAGAAAAGTCCTGGTAAATCAGGATTCAGGGAGACAAAATTTCTGTATTTTTCCAGTAATGGCTAAGTCATTATTTACTGAGCTGTGGTATACACATCACTGACTTTAGACAATTCATGGATAATTTTCATTTTGATAGTTATTTTAGTATGTATTTAAATACTGTAACTAGCACACTAAACATGATTTCAGAAATATAATTGCTTTGAATGAGGATAAAATAGACAAAAAGTTTTTAAAATGTGTATGTAACTAAAGAAAAAGTATAATGGTATGCAGGAACTACAAAAATAAGGACAGTGGTATTGAAATGACTCAAGAGTGAAAACATCGTTACAAATAGAGAGTATATTCCGGGACTGGTCACTAGAGAGGTAGTCTCTATTGTGAGTAAAGGTATTTTATCAGCACTTGTTCTGATTCCATGCTCACTTAGCAACTTCCTAATTAATAATTCAACTTCCCAAGAACTTTGATACTGAGAAAGGGGTGCTGTTGAAGATACATAAATCTTACTTGTTCCCCATTATGAATTAGTATATTGAGATGCTGGTTTAGAAATCAGTGTTGTTTGAGATTAGTGTTCCTAAGAGGTCTTACTTCATTTAGTGAACCCTAAGCATGACTACTAGTGAATTTAGTGAGAGCTTAAAGTGAATGAAGAATCATTGTCAAATACTGTATGAGGATACCTTGGATAATCCTTCCTTAGGTTAAGGGAACTTCTTTGCTCTTTGACACAAAATGATAGCTCATCATTTCATAGTGAACTATGAAATGTGGTCAACAGCTACCAGGAAAGCATACTATACCAAGGTCTAGACCTTTCCATCACCACTAGATGTTAACTACATCTGAAAACAAAGAAAATTTTCTTCTCCGTGTCCCAAATAGGATGAATCTTTTTTGTCTACCCTTCCAAAGACTGAAGGATTAGTTTTCAAACAGAGAAAATTATCAGCAATTGGTTAAGGAGCCATTCCAGACTAAAGAAGCATATGGAGACACGGAGAATCCTCTGGGTCTCTCTGGAGTGCATAGCCCTGTGGCAAAAATTATTTTTTAAATAATTTATCATAAAGTCTAATTGCTACATATAGTAAAAGTATTTTTTTTATTGTTATTTGTGTCCATTTGAATATAAGTTTCTTTATGGCACAGACTGTGTTAGTCCTAATCACTCCTAGAAGATTCAGGTATCTAAATCAGTTTAAATACGAATAAATATTAGGCCATCGCCACTGCTGCCACCAAGTCTTTCAAGGCCAGAGTGAGCACCTTGCAGCACCTGGTGGAGCAGCTCAAGGTGGAGGTGGGTGTGGAGAGGATCAAGGTCTCTCAGGTGGTTGCAGAGCCTTGGTAGTACTGCAAGCAGAATGGCTGCAAGGGTGGCTGCCTGGCCGGTGTTCCAGCTGCAACAACCCTTTCTAGGAGCCCAGATCCTGTGCTTTACTCTAAACACTTCAGAGAAGTTTGCTGTGGAATACCTTCAAGCACAAACAGATGAAGGACGGCCTCCGCATCTCAAGAAAACACTTTTCTCTAGGAAAATGACTTTTAAATATTTCAGACTTTTCCTGTGGCCTAGCCCTATAGCCAAATTTTATAGAAATTGATGAGTTTTTACTCAAATAAGGAAACTAGGTGAAAGAGTAGAGTTTTTAATCATAATGCCCTGGTTCTTTTGACAAAGTGCTTTGTATTTAGGATCGAAACCTTACTACCAAATGTACCAAAACACACCTCTTTTATAAGTGAATTGCTGGTGTTTCTATAGCTGGAGTATCAGGTGTATTTTATTTACTTGATGTTTAAATTTTAGGAAGGAAAACATTTTTGTTTATTTAAACAAATAAAATACTTGTAATTAATTCTGGACACAGGTTGTGATATCATAACAAAATTCATTATTTTCTTATAAATTTACATTTTATTTTGTTAATAATTATATAATTCCATTTGTTGTTTTTATTTTTTAATTTGACCAGTCAGGGACACAGAAAGAAAGGGAAAGCAAGAAAGCAAGTCACCAATTCCAGGACTCGAACCACGGTTGGCTACGTGGGAATCCAGAGCCTTTAATCACCATGCCACCTGCCAACCCCATGAATTTACACTTTCTAAGTGAAGACAGAAAAATAAAAATTGGAGAAAGAATAGGCTTTACTAATCAAATGATGTCTTGGCTTTTTTAAATAAAAAGATGTTTTTTAATTTTTAACAATAAAGATGAGAGCTGTTTCTTAGCAAACTTGTTTGGAAACATCAATATTGTTTTAGGTTGCTCCATCCTATATATGAAATAGATTTGATTGTTGCTTTCTTAAGTTCCTTTACTTTGTAGTTGTTGCACTTTAGAAAGAAAACTACATTATGTTATGACTTTAAAATGTTTAAGATGTGGCCTACCAAACATTGCAAATGGTTTAAAACCAAGTAATGTGCAAATAAGAGAACTTCAAAGAATTCTTCATGTCACAAGTGTTTTGCTTTGATGATATGCCTTTTATTTAATTTGGGACATTTTCAGGATACTTTGCTATAACCTTTGCAGGACCTGGAAATAAAATTTCTGATTAATTCATCAAATAAATAAATAAATATTAATTGTTTAAAAAATAAAACAAAAACATACTATGTGTGCTTAGTTGGACAAAAATTACCATTAAACTGGCCAAACCATGGTACCACAGGAGGTAGGATACTGCTGTGCAATATTAGAGCCACATGGGAGGCCTGGTTTGGGGCCAGCTTGGCCTAAACAGACATAATTCAACCACATGCACCTGTAATGATAGCTAGATGACGGTGGGGAGGATGACAGCAACATGGTGAAAACCTGTCAGGGACATCTGTATTTAAAGACACAGAATAAAGGAGGGAAAACCTTTTTAAAATTACCATTAAACAGTTAGGTTTTGATAAAGTATATCCTGGTGTTTAAGGGAGCCAGATCCCACATGACTGACTGTGTGGTTCAAGTTCTAGTGCTGAAGGCTTTTTGCAAAACATGTCAGGTGTGCATACATGCATGCCTCCAAATCCTGATAGGATGGAAAAATGGAGGAGAAAGGATTATGACATGACTATGACCCCATTAAAAGGTTCTCTCACTCTCTCTTTACCTGGCAAGCACATATACCCTCTGAAAAATTATATATATTATGGTCAGCTACTATGTGATATATATGATCAATGTGTGCTATATAATCAACCATCTCTAGCCACACATAAAACATGATACAATCTCAGCATTTACATATATAGAGAGTTGTCAGAAAAGTCATGACACATTTTTTTTTTTTTTTGGAGAAGTTTTCGCTATAGGGTGCGTGTGCTCGCCAGACAGGCAGAGAGAGACATAGAGACAGAAAGCGAGAAATCACCCCTCAGGGAGGATGGTCATGCCACAATCCCTTCTCCTCCATTCTCCTCTCGAGATCTTGGACACGCACGCACACACACCCGGTGTGAGTTTTAAGCCACCGGGTCTGGGACGCGAACCACGGTCGACTACGTGGGAGTCCAGTGACATAGCCATTACGCTAACTGCTGGTTCCCTGACACATTTTTACATAGAAAAACAGAGAAAAAAGTCATGACTTTTCCAACAACCATACACACACATATTTTCCATGATTTTTTTTTTAAGAGATTTTTGTTATAGGGTGCTTGTGCCAGGGAGGCAAAGATAGAGAGTGTGAAATCATCTGGGGGAGGGCAGGATGGCCATGCCACAATCCCTTCTCTTCTATTCTCCTCTTGGGATTTTAGGAATGCACACATGCACATGCGCCCAGAGTGAGTTTTAAGCCACTGGGTCCTGGACTTGAACTGCAGTCAACTACATAGGAGTCCAGTGATGTAACCATCATGCCATCCTCTGATCCTGAATTTTGTTTTTCAAATTTGCCAGGATTCAAACTGAAGTTGGTCATGTGGGATCCAGCTCCCTTAACCACCAAGGCCAGTCTAACCATTTCTTTTTTATTAAGAGCTCGAAATATGACTTATTCATCAGTGTCATTTTTTTGAGTATGAAATAATTGTAAAAACTATGGATTCTATGGGTATGATCCATCAGAGAATGTTGATTTTGTTTTAGGAGTCAATTTGTTTGGACTCAAACTGTGAAATGTCTTTTAGGAGACAACTCAAAAAGCAGCTCAGGTCATTCATTCATTCATTCATTCATTCATTTAGGAGAGTTTTTGGCTATAGGGCCCGTGCACACGCCAGAAGGACAGAAAGTAAGAAATCAACCCCCCCCCCCAGGGGGGATGGCCACACTACAATCCCTTCTCCACTCTCCTCTCGGGATTCTGGACACGCATGCACAGGCACACACATGTGGCGTGAGTTTAAGCCAGTGGGTCCAGGACTCCAACCACAGTTGAATACATGGGGAGTCCAGTGACGTTGCCATTATGACATCTGCTGGTCCCAGGTCTTTTATTTTTAACTTGGCATTTATTTCACATGTATGACTTTGTTTTAAAAGATTAAGGAGAGTTTAAACAAAATTTGGGTCTCCCCCTCTATGACTTTCTTACATATGGTATTTCCCTTTGTCCAGTATCTATGATTGTTCCAAATTCTGTTACTTAGGCCAGAGAAACTATGGCTTGCCAGATTCTAGACACTTCTCATAATGCAGACTTGAGCCTACCCTCATGATAGAATCTGTGAAAATGGCGAACACTCACCTAGAGATACTCCCTTCTTCCAGAAGTCATCTCCCCTCCAAAGTCTGACTACTTCTGCCCATCGTTTAGTGCCAATAGGTAGTATTTTCTGTATTTTGTGCAAAAGTCCAGAATTTGTTATCAGAGGAGGCTAGTGGTATGTTAGACGCTTATGCAGCTATTACCAGAAGAGATTTCTCATTGATATAAGTGTCCACAGAAGAAATGAACCAGGATCAAAGGTTACAAAGTAAGAAAGGTATAAATTCTAAATTACAGAATTTAGAGTAATTTGGGTCAATCCTATGGTTTCCCAAACCATATGTTTTTGCCCATCATTTTTTTATTTGCTAGAGGGCATGTTCACACACCAGAGACAGAAGAAAAAGAGAGAGAAAGAATCCCCATTGAGTTGTGGTCACATCTCTATCCCTTCTCCTCCATTTCTCCATCTGGTTGGGGGTTTGGAGCATACATGCTCACATGCCCAGGGTGTTTTTCTTTTCTCTTTTTAAAATAATTTATTGGAAATTCTGAGCTGTGAGTTTTTTTGTCTTGTTTTGTTTTTAATTTGTCAGAGTGTGTGTGAGCTCGTTGGAGAGAGACAAAAATAGAGACTAGGGAAGGGGGTAAGAAAGCATCACCCCCACCCCATGTTGCATGGCCATGCTACAATCCCTTCTCCTCCATGTCTCCCTCCTTTGGGGATTTTGCACAAACATCCAACATGTTTTCCAAGCTGTAGGGTCTGGGGTCTCAAACCTCACAGCCAGACATGTAAGATCCAGCTCCCCTAACTACTAAGTTATAAGGCCGGCCTGCCAATCTATTCTTCATTCAGCTTCACTTAAGAGTTTTTTTATCCAGACTTTTCCCAATCAACTCTCACTCTTACATATCATTTACTTTTCTAAGTACATGTCCATTTCCTATAGTTTATTTAATTTGCTGGCATATAATTGTTCACAGTCTAATACTCTTAGAATCTTTTTTATTTCTGAAAGGTTAGTAGTAATGACCTCATTTTCATTCCTTTTAGTAATTTGACCAGGCTAGGGATTCAAACCACATGTGCAGGTGCAATTTGGCTTTCTTGAGCAGTACATTGCTGCTGTACCACAGAGCTGGCCCAATTTTTCCTTTACTCCCTGGTTATTTAGAGATGTATTATTTAATTTTAACATACTTGTGAATTTTCTGGATTTCTTTTAAATTTCCAGTTTCAGTCCATCCATGTAATTAGAAACATTTTGTGTAATTTTAGTCTCTTAAAACTTAGTGAGACTTCTCTTGTGGTCCAACAGGTAGTCTATCTTGATAAATATTCCACATGTACATGATTGTCTATTCTGCTGTTGTTGGGTTGCATGTTCTTTAAACATCTGTTAGGTCTATACAGGTATTACCAGAAGAGAGTTTTTGGAAAACCAAGCATTTTGAATATTACAATGTACCAATTCCAGATATTGGGTTCTCCCTTTCTTTACCAAGGTTTGTTATTGCTGCTTATTTTTGACTGTTTTCGTCTTTTTAGTGATTTTTCTGAATCTTAATTCCATGAAGATTTTATTCTTTGTTGTGTGGTCACTAAATTCTGTTTAGTTAATTTAGTGGTCAATTAGTGATTTAACAGATATTTCCTTTATTAAACACCTGAAAGCAAAAAGTAAGATACACAGCTGGAATACAAGAAAGCACTCCAGTCTTTGTCAATTATTAATTGCTATGTTTTGGCTCACTCCTTCAATGCTTACCCATTTCAGTATATTGTCTGTGGCTTGCAACACTGTGTTAGCCTTCACTTTCCACCTTTATGGAGCATAGCGGTAAGCTAGAGGAGAGAACATAAGGTGTTGTCAGAACTTTTCTAGACCAGGTCATAGGGATGTTCTACATCTTCCAGAACAAAAGGAAGCTTTTCAAAGCTTTCATTCACCCAAGTATCTCTTTCCC